CCTGAAGCACTTTGCAGTGTCTGTCTTGCTGTAACTGACCTGCAGTGTCGCGTGCGCTGGTCATTGGGTTGTTTCCATTGCGTGGTGTTCCATTGTCCCTCACTTCTCTACTGCTGACGGACGTCCCAGTTGACTCTTTTGTGAACATTCTCGTAAGTGATTCAGCGATGCACAGAGGCAGTTCTGGTGACTGTGTGTCCGGAGTGGAGTTTCTGGGTCACGGGATATGCCTGTTTTGCCTTAATGGATACTGCCTGACGGTATTCGGAGTTGCTGTACCTGTGTTTGCTCCAGGAGTGGTCTGCGAGTGCTGCTGTGGCTGTCTGGACAGGTCAGTCTCATTTCAGCCGGTGTGTGAGAGTGCGACATCGCAGTGGCTTGTACTCATCCTTCCCTGGCGGCTAGGGGACGTGGACAACAGTCTTCTGCCTGTGAGCCTAGCACTCAAGCAGAGAGCTGCTTTTCCGTCTAACCACCCCTTGGGCTGCTAGTCCACCCCAGGTCCTAGTGGCCAGGTGGAGACCGTCAGGAAGGGGCAGTGGTCTCGAGCTGCACCTGGTCTGTGGTGATGTGCCAGGAAGTGTGTTTAAATGACCCACTCCAGAGCTAGCCAATGGGGGAAGCAGAAAACAGACCTGTGAGAAGCTGTTTCATATCACGCCTGTCATGGATCCCTTTTGTTTTGTCAGTGACTCAGTGGTTCTAGGTGAGGCATTTTAAGTACTGTTTCTCTTTTGGTAATGGACTGATGGTGGTACTTGGGTATTGACAGGGTTTTTCTGGCTGGTAATGTTACCTTTATGCCTTTCAAGAGCTTCCTCCCACTGCTTTCTGAACGTTGGGCTCTGAGGCGCAGGAGAGGAAATGGGGGAACCCCTTGAAGGCTGTGGCAGTGCTCCAGCAGAGGTGGTGGGTGCTGTGGGCAGAGGCTGGCCGCACTGAAGATCCAGAGAAGTAGAGAAGTGAAATAGCCACGTTTATATTTTGTCTTGAAAAACCTAGTGGTGTTTCAAAAACTATGAAGTTAGGAAAAGTTTCAGGACCTGAGCCATGCAGCCAGCAGCCTCCGAGTGGCCAGTCCAGGCAGGGGAGATGGGTCAGGAGACATCGTCACTGGGGGCAAGAAGAGCTGAGGGCTGATCTGATGCCTTCGTGTTTAACAGACCAGTTGAAGGAAGTAGTTAGAGAAGGTGTGCACATAAAGTAAAAGTAGAAGAATCATAATAAAACAAGCAACTCTGTCCTCAGCCCCAGAACTCACCCCTAGAGCTGTTTGTCTGCCTTCGTTTTGTGCGAGTGATTCGTCCAGGGTCCTTGGCGCTGGGGCCTCCGGATGCGCTTTCCAGATCTCCTGAAGACTGATGACCCAGACAGTCTTGTCATCGCCATGCACTGCCTCAGAGATCTTGGTTTCAGGCAACCCTCAGATTCCTGTGCTTCCGGCAGAGTGGCCCTGCTCTGTGGGTAACCCCCCCAGATAGGCACCAAGGAAGGAAAGCTAAGCAGAATCTTGGCACAATTAAGGCCTGAAGAATATTTCAGTTTATAGTATTACTACTCAGTTATTTCCCTTTATATAATCCTCTATATATAATATTAGTTCATAGAATGAGTGCCTAAAAAATATCTCACCACTCAGTTATTCACACACACACACACACACACACACACACACACACACACCTATATCTTAGTTCATAATGGGAGGAATGCCTGGGTGCAGAGCAGGAATTAAGGAATAAGCAGCTTACAGTTGGAGGAATGTCCAGAGCAGACACAGTGCAGAGCATGATTTAAGGGAAGAACAGTTATGCCAGGACAAGAACCCATGGCCCAGGCGGCAGCGTTAGGTATGTAAAGATACACGCTGTGTGGCAGGCTTGGGGCGAGAGCCACTCCTCCTGATAAAGGAGTTGTAGGACCCTGCTCCAGTTCTTGCGGAAGGCCGCTCTCAGACCAGTAATCCACCTTGGTGACTGAACTCTCTCAGCTCTTGCTACTGTGCTGCTCGAAAAGCATCTTCCCATAGAACCCACTGGAAGCTGCCAGCAGGTAGCGGTAACCCTGACAGCTCTGTCACTGCCGTGTGACTTAAAGCGTCCTCCTATAAATCTTAGATGTAGCTTGCCCATAGATAGAGGTACTGTACACAGCCCACTTCCTTGCCTTGATGTCCTAATGGGAATGGACCCCTTGCTGCGCACTGTCCACCTCCCAGCCTAGGTGACCTAATGGGGGTGGACCCCTTGTTTTATTGCTCACGACCCTATCCTTAAAGATGACTTCACTCACTGCTCTGCCCCCTAACCTATACACAATAAATACTCAAGCTTCTGGACATTCAGGTCCTCGCCTGACTCCACTCAGGTGGCGTGGCCCCGAGCCCAGCTGCCTTTTCCTTATACTTCTGTGTCCTGTCTATTTCTTGGATCCTGCATCACAGCATAAGGGACACCCCGCGATCCTTTGGGGCCCTCAGCCCTGCATCGTTCCCCACACCGGCTTCCTCCATGCCATCGTCCCTCCTGGGGCTCGGACGTGGGCGTCCCTGCCCTGCTCAGGCTCTGCTCCTGATCCTCGGAGCCTCTGCCTCCCAGCCACTGGGCAGGCTGGCAGTGCCATCGCAAGGACTGTGCTGGAGGGTCTTGTTTTCACTTGGTGTTTCATTCACTAAAACGGGAGCGGCGTGAAGACGGCTTTGTGTTGTCTTGAGGACACCCATGCCGTGCTTGGTTTGGAGCCAGTCAGATGGAGGATCAGCTTAGAAAGGGAAGCTGCTGACCTCAGCTGTGAAGTGGTCGTGGATACTGAGAGGCAGTATGCGTTTCTCAAGACCAGTCACTATTCTCTCTTCTGGGGGGGGACTTCCGTTATAGGCTCCCCTGCATCACCCGTGTCCCCTCTCTTTTACTCCTAGCAGATGAAGCTCCCTCATGCCTCATGGAAACAGTGCCGCCTGAGGGGCCATCCTCTGCCCTCCACACCTGCCCTCGGTTCTTACAGCAGCTCCCGGCCGTGCTCCATGCCGTCCTCCCCGATGTCTCCTGCTCCAGCCGTCTCTCCCTGGGGCACGTGGACATGACTTCTAGGCCATCTTTCACAAATGCCACCCACTCTGTTTTCTTTCCCAATCCACAGCTCCTTAATCCTGCTTCCTCACAGCACACCAGTGTCCTCGTCAGCTGCCCCTCCTCTCCTGCCACGTGAGGCCATCCCACTTCTAACTCACCTGCTTAGACTGCTCACTTTTGATTCCGTGATTTCGAACCGTAAGTGCCCACCTCTTATGTGGTAACTGATGATTCCATTTTCCTGCCATCACCTTCAGCCCACATATACCCCTATACCTGTAAAAAAGAGGTTGAAAGAAATCAGTTGCAACTTTTTGTTACATAGTATTTTGTTGACAAGTAAATATTGTGTATTACTGATCTACGCCTTTTCTTTTTCACACAAGTTTTCACTTGCCTAGAGCTGATGATTGCCTGATTTTCTTATACACTTAGTTATCTGTCTTCAGAGCTTTGTTTTTAAGCACTTCAGCAGGTCTGTCAAATACCAACACATCAGCTCAGCTCTCAGCTCTTCTCTCAGACCAGCCTCCTGACCAGTGTTCCCGCCACCCTCCCGGCTGCCACGGCCACTCTGAGGCCTACTGACCGCCTGGCTTATGTCCTGAGATTCTCCTCACCATTTTTCTGGAAGTCAGATCCCTGATCTTCCTCTTGGCTTTTTCTCTCATTTTGCCAAGTTGTCTCTCCCAGCAGTTTCCTGAGAAAGCGTTTGTTTTGGCTCTTTGCTTACTTGAAAACGTTTTTACTCCCTCAAATTTAATTGAAAACTTGACTAGGTCTGGCATTTCAGGCTGAAAATTATTTTCTCCCAGAATTTTGATGGGAGATGTTTGATGTTTGAACCACCATGTTAACTGCTGCCTGTGCGATACCATCTGAATCCCTTTTCTGTGTGTCACCTGTTCATTTGCTCTGGGAGTTTTTAGAATCTTCTTTTTGTCCCTGGTGTTGATGTGCACGGCCTGGGTCTGCTGGCAGACACACAGGACCTCTGAGCCTGAGGGCGCGGCCTTGGAGGCTTCTCTTTCGCTTTCTCTGTTGTGTTTCTGGAACTGTTCAGCTGGGGAGTGGGACCCCGAAACTGATCCTCTGGTTGTCTTTTCCTTCCTCTTGTCCATCTCTTTTCTTTCTGCTCTACCCTTTGGAAGAGATCTGAGGGTTTTCATTATTACTGTCGCCCTTTGGATTTCACGTGGCACTTTCTCCTCCTGGTTCCTTCTGGAGCATATTCTTCCTCTCCTGGGGGCCCTGCTGGTGAGTGAAGAAGAGCCTGCATCTCCTGCCCTACTCACCAACAGGGGCTTGCCACGTGGGCATGCATGGTGCAGCATCCAGCATGTCTCTCCTCTCCGTCAGGCTGCGGTGATGGTAGCCCTGCTTCCCAGAGCTCTTAGGAGGCTGACTGGGGGTCAGTACAGGGATTGTGCATGGTTCGAATAGCACCAGGCTCCTGGTAGACACTCAACCAAACACTGGAGTGTAGCGGCTGGTAGTATAGCAGCTCCCTAGAACCTAAATTGAGCTTTCCTGTCTCTCTGTTCACATTCCATCTTTGTTTTGTTTTTTGTTTTTGTATTTTTTAACTGAGATGGAGTCTCACTCTGTCACCCAGACCGGAGTGCAGTGGTGTGGTTTCAGCTCACCGCAACCTCTGCCTCCCGGGTTCAAGCGATTCTCCTGCCTCAACCTCCCGAGTAGCTGGGATTACAGACGCGTGCCACCACACCTGACTAATTTTTGTACTTTTACTAGAGACGGGGTTTTGCCAGGTCGGCCAGGCTGGTCTCAAACTCCTGACCTCAGGTGATCCACCCGTCTCAGCCTCCCAAAGTGCTGGGATTACAGGCGTGAGCCCCCCTACCCCTCCCACCCCTGTGCCCGGCCCCGCCTGTCTTTGTTTTGGTGACTTCCTGAAGCTCTGCAGGTACTGAGCTGTTGTTTCTTAGTCGAGCGAAGTTGCTGTTTCTAGCTGTGGGCTTTTCAGCTGGCAGCCTCACTGTGGTTAGCCATGTCTTTGTAGAACCCAAATGTTTGAATATTGAGGCCCTTTCCCATGGGCGTGAGCATTTCAGAGGACACCCCTGGCAGCCAGTGTCTAAGGAACAAGAAACCAGAGTAGCTGTGTGCTCCTACCTGGCAGGGTGGATGGGGGGTGACCTGGGGACCAAGCAGCTCTGTAAAGACTTTCTGCATCTCTGTGCCAGCCCTTTGCTGCCCCTATTTTTGTTGAAGCTGCTCACACAGGTGTCTTCTCTGCTTTCTTCTGACACCTGGGTGGGGGCAGGAGAGAAAGGAGATGAACATACTCAAGTGTTGGGCAGGAGGTCTGAGAGGACACAGGCTGCTGCTGACACCTTGCGGGTTTGATCGTGACCCAGATGTTGAGGGGGGTTGCACAGCCAGACGGCCAGCGGCAGCAGTGCCACGGCAGTCGGAGTGTGACATCGCAGTAGAGCCTGTCTGGCTGAGAAGAGACCCGATGCCTCCATGGGACACCAGGAGGTGCCAGGCTGTGCCGTGGGCAGAAGCTCCCACTACCCCAGCAGGGAAACGGAGGCAGAAGGCAGGCATGGGGAAGTTATGGTAGCTTTAAAATGCCTAATCACTCTGGGAGGCTGAGACGGGCTGATCGCTTGAGGCCAGAGGTCTAGACAAGTCTGGTCAACATGGAAAAACCCCGTCTCTACTAAAAATACAAAAATTAGCTGAGTGTGGTGGCGCCCGCCTATAACCCCAGCCGCTCTGGAGGCTGAGACATGAGAAGCACGTGCACCCAGAAGATGGAGGTTGCAGTGAACCAAGGTGGCACCACTGCACTCCAGACTGGGCAACAGAGCGAGATTCTGTCTCAAAAAAAAACAAAGAAATACCTGACTTGGTGCCCTTCGTGCCATATTTATGCTTTAGCATCAGTTTGTTTTTTTAAAAACTGTCTCCATTGGATGAATTTGATGCTGATAATTTTAACTCTGTTGGTTTTGTGACTTTGTGTATTTAGTTTGGGTTCAGAGCTTGTCTGAGCCCTGCAGTGTTTCTCGTTTCAGGTTCACGCATGTTTGCTGAATGAAACTTCTCAGCCCTGACAGTTACGGAAGTTTCTCTTTTAAAAGACTCAGTCCATTTTAATTAAGTTTGAAAATCACTGACAGAACTAGAATACCATTAATCATGTAATTTTATACACCCTATGGGTATAAATTACATCGATTTAGACCTTTTTAATCCAATTCAGAATATTTCAGCTTCACGTAAGCAAGGTAGGTTATTTTCAGTAATTTAATAGTGATGCTTCTAAGAAGCAGCCTCATCCTCTCCCAAAGTCTGAAGATTTTTAAAAAGAAAGAAATCCCAGGCCAGGGATTCCCGTGTGAAGTCAGTGCCCCAGTTGTGCAGATGCTGGTGGAAAGCCTTTATAAACATGATTAAAACGCCTGTGCAGACCTTTGCGAATTGCATTCTAGTATCTCCGCTTGTGGGGGACTTTCTCAAGTAGTTGCAGGTCCATTTCTGATTAGTAAGTGGGTTGTTTACAGTCGCCATTTAGTAGTTTTTTACTTCCTACTATAAAGATACTGTGGGCCCTGGGAGCGCGGAGAGTCACGGCGAGCCCATGAGTTGGTGCCCAGCAGGGGAGTGAACTTGTAGTGATCTCACTGTTCCTGAGACACCCCACACTGCAGGGTAAGGCGAGTCCCGCCATGGCTGTAGGATGAGCCCCGACCGACCCCTCCCCTCGGAGCCCTCGCCAGGCCTTGTGCTTGTCAGTCAGCACAGGACACAGGGGCACTTTAGAGAAGCCAGCTTCCTCCAGACTCTTCCTGAAAATATCAAATTTTTGTCCAAATCATAGACCTGGGTTTTTTCAATTTAATAGTCTGTCATAAATCCAGATACTCCCCTCCCAGCCCAAAGGGTTAGCCCAGGGTGCCTGAGCACTTTTGCACAGCTGAGTTTTGTTGTTCCGTCTGCCCCGTGGTCTGGGTCTTTGTTGCGGTGTCAGAGATCTCAGGGGCCCCGACAGTGTCTCACTTGGTGATGTTGTCATCAATGGTGGTGACTGTCTCCAGACGATGATGACATGGAGCTTCTACTGTCCATGATACTGTAATGTACAGAAGCCAACACAAGTTACTGCATAGAACATTAAAACCTTTGTATTCCTATTGTAAACGCATCGGATTTATTTTAGAAGGTGACATTAGGTATGCATTATAAAATCAGTCAGCGTTCTTCAGGACCATGTTTTTCCTCTTTCTTGTAGCAGTGAATTTTCTGAATTTCTACCCTTTGTCCCTTCATCAAGACAGTCCAGTCTAGATAAATCCTGGTGTGGCAGGGGCCAGGCATGGAGGTGGAGTCAGACTCACACATTCACATGTGCTGGCAGGTTCTCAGCGCCAGGACCAAGAAGTGGCCACTTGGTAATTACAAGTTTGCCATGACAATTTTGCTTGATTCTGGGAGAACGTCGTGTATGTCTTATCTTTGTTTTGAGCCTTTGATTGCTGTTTTGGTGTTGTGATCCCCCTCAGACCTCCTCTGGTAAATCGCTTCTTATTCTGTTGACAGCGGACATCATTTCCACCGTTGAATTTAATTACTCTGGAGATCTTCTTGCAACAGGAGACAAGGGCGGCAGAGTTGTTATTTTTCAGCGTGAACAAGAGGTCAGTAATTTTCAGTCCGCAAACCAAATGTGACCATTCAGCCTTTCTCACGTAACTTAGAAGTGAGGAAGCAAAATTATTTTCTCATTGTCTCATTTCATTAAGCTTCAGTTCCATTGCATCAGCCATACAGAATCTCCTTTCAGGAATTATCTAAGTTCTGGCCTCAGCTGCTGAGCCCCGAGGAAGTCGCCAAGGCCTTTGTCTTTAGAGTAGGGAGGAGACTCCAGAGGGGACCACATGCAGGCTGCAGGATGGTGGTGATGTGTATTTATGTGTTTTCATTCCACGATAACTCAGGGAGCTCTCAGAAAATCCCTTCCTATGCCTGTGCAGCTGCTGGCCCGGTCCCGCTGCCCTGCCCTGCAGTGAGGTAGAAGAGTGTTCTGTGGGACACTGGCTGCGAGCAACTCTCAGCACTTCCTGCAGAGAAGTGTGGGGCTGTGTAAATTCTCTCTTCCCTTCAGGGAGAGGTGAGCAGCACTCACTCTTGCATGCCCCCTTGAAGGCTGCCTGTCCAGAGGGAAGGGAACCTTCCGAGTGGGCCTTGGAGGAGCCCACAGCTCCTGAGCACTGGCTTGTAGGTCGTAGCACTTCCTTCCCACTGATGCCTTGCCAGCCCCTCCCTCTTACTGGTGAGCCTCAGAGGCCCTAGTGAGCAAGGATCGATGATCAAGGAAGCGAGATCATTATTTGTTAGGGAAGGATTCCAGCAGGAACCTCAGGAACCTCGGTGCAGCCAGGCCTGGGGTCTGAAATACTTGTCCTGACTTTTCCTTAACAGAGTGTAAATACGGTCCCTTGCCCTTTCTGTCTCTGAGTTCCCTGACAGATGAAAGGGACAGTTTCTCGCCTCCAAAGTTTAGTCTCTGCATTTGTGTGCTGAGCTGTGGTTTAGAGGCTGGTGGGCCCTTGCTCCCCTCTTTGCAGAGCTTCTGTACACTGGAAGCACTGGCCCCGACCCCAGGACGGGGAGCCTGGAGGACTGGCCAGAACTGGAGGCGCTGGCTGCCACATGGGGAGCATGGACGGTACTAACCGATTTCAGTTCAAAACAGAACTCTTGCAGCTTTAATTTTGATTATGTCCATGTCATTAAAGATTTCTTTTAATTCTGTTTTCTCTAATTTGAGATGGTAAGAAATCCTTTTGTGAATAATAACTATACTATCATTAATCTTGCTAAATCTTCACAGTTTGATATATTTATAATTTTGCATTCTTATCTCAGAAGTAGAATATCGCACAGTGCTACTTAAGAACCATACACCTTGGCCGGGCATGGTGGCTCATGCCTATAATCCCAGCACTTTGAATCCGCTAAAGCGGGTGGATCACCTGAGGTCAGGAGTTCGAGACCAGCCTGACCAACATGGAGAAACCCCATCTCTACTAAAAATACAAAATTAGCGAGGTGTGGTGGCGCATGCCTGTAATCCCAGCTACTTAAGAGGCTGAGGCAGGAGAATTGCTTGAACCCGGGAGGCAGAGGTTGGGGTGAGCTGAGATCACCCCAGTGCACTCAGCCCAGGCAACAAGAGCAAGACTCAGTCTCAAAAAAAAAAAAAAAAGAACCAAATACTTTACCTTTTTCAACGGAAGTAAAAAATGGGTGGTGGTGTGTACATATTACTCTTTGCAGGAGGGTTTTTTAACAAATTGCTGAGTCGTGGCTGTCTTAATGTGAGACTTAACTTTTAGTGTCTTTAAAAAGTCTGCCTTCATAGCCATAGCCTTATGGGAGATGCCTCATCCTTGCCTGACGGATCTTAACAGAGAAAATGGAATTTCTCTTGTTTTTGTGAACAATTACTTAACCTAAATGATTCTCAAATACAAAACAGACCCTGATAAAAGTCAGGCACCTTGTTCTAAAATACATTGGGTAGTCTAGAGATTTGAGTGTTGATTTAGGATGTATTAAGATGTATTGTTATGTGAGTGGCGGATTTTTACAGGAGCAAGTTCCTGCTGAAGCTGTTGAATAGACCTAGCAGCTGTAGCTTGATAAAGCCCAGGCAGGATTTTTTCTTTTTCTTCGTGTTTTGGTTGCCCCGTGAGAGGCTTTCATATTCCATCTACTTTTAGACCGTTTTGTCGGTTGCCACGTGTGACTCTCACTGTGGACCTGCGTGCTTCTTGTGCGCGTGAGGGTGTCAGTGCGCATTTTCGTCCATGGTCAGGGAGGCCACTGATGGAGGTGCAGGCGCTAGGAGGAGGAAGCTGCTGCCCTAAGCGACCCCGCTCCCAGTTAGAAGCTGCGGCAAGGTTCAGAGGTGTCAGCGTGGGCATCTTCAAGTGGATGGGGCGTGGAGGATTCTGAGGGATAGTGAGTGCCCCACCAGACTGTGGAAGGTGCAGGCCTTAGGTAAGGAATCGGGTCCATGGGGCCCTGGTGGGAGGTCCTGGCTGTGCCAAAAGCGAGGCAGGAAGCACCTTAGCACCTTGAGTTTCAAGTTTTTCTTGTTTTTCTGTGCACATTATGTCTTACAGGGAAGCCAGGCTGGTAAAACTAAGGCACACAGAATTTATGTAAGGCTGTGGCTCTGTAGCCCCCTGCCCTCCAGGCTCAGCTCTGGCCCCAGGAGTCACGTTACATCAGAAATCAGCATGTCCAAAAAGAGAGTGTGCTTTCTTCATCCTCCTTTTCCTATTTGTTACTCTCCTGCTCTCTCCTGCCTCCGTCCCAGCAAGGCTTCCTCGAGAATTCCTCTCCCTAGACCCAGTGGAACGCCGCGAGGGTGCAGAGTGTTGGAGAAGGCTGAGGGGTCACTGGGGTGGGAGCTGGGACCAGTTGGTGGCAGAGACGAGCCTGCAGCCCAAGGACGGTTCTCGTGCTGGCGCTTGGGAGGAAGCCAGGGCAGCACAGGCAGCACGCTGACTTGCACATTGTGCCTTTTTGCTTATAGGCCGCAGTTTTTTCTTGGTAGATGAATGTCTTAGGAATAGGACTAATTTGGTTATATACTTTTCTTTTTAAATAATTTGGTTCCATTTTTCTCCCTCGCAATAGAACTGTCTGTTGAAGTGCTGTGCTTCTGTAAAGAGGGGTAGGCGTGGGTCCAAGGAGAGCAGTTTAAACATCCGCCCTGTGCGGCCCACGTGGGACCGTCCAGCCCTGAGAAGCTCAGCTCCTGCCCGTGGAGGCTTCAGTTGAAGGAATGCACCGTACATCAGACTCAATGCAGTGGAGAGCTGTGGGGAGCCTCTTGGGATGACTTCTCCTAATAGAAGGAACATCTGTCTAGACTTAAAAGTTCGTTTAGTTCAGTTTCTTGAGCATATGTACTCAAGTGTCAAACATCTAAGATACTAGTTACTGGCTGTAGAGCAAGAATGAAAATACTGGCATCCTTGATTTTTGAATTACGGAATAATTAATAGAAAATTTCCTTTGGGCATATAGAGATTCAGAGGTTAATAGAGATGCACCTGCAAGCCCACCACCCAGAGGTTATGCCTTCATCAAAGGAAAGAGAACGCTGGGATCCAGATGAAGCTTCTGTCCCCTCCCCCATCTCGTTCTGCCACTTTTCTCCCAGTCTTTCTCACTCTCCCTCCAGCTTCCCAGAGCTGCTCATTCATTTGAAGATGGTGTATATCTTCCTAAGCATGTTCCTCCACTTCTCTAACAGTTGTTTTGTGTGTGTGAAAAACGGATGTAAGCAGCACTCACTGTGGGCGTCTGTACCGCCTGCCGCACTACGCAGCTGTGCCATCGTCCGTGCTAGCTCGTCACCTCCACGGCTGCATGGTGGCCCTGCACGGTTGCATGGTGGCCCTGCACTGTTTCCCTTCTCTAGCTGGTATGTGTGTGGCGTCTGGTTCACTCCCACCATGATGGGGCCGCCACATCGTTGTGTCACGCTCCTCAGGCACGTGCTGGCTCTCCTCTAGGGCAGACTCAGCAGATGCTTCCCCCCAGGGCCAGGTTGCAAACATTTTTGCCTCTGCAGCTCATAGCGGCCTTTTCACAGCCACTCACCTCTACCCAGATCGTGCAGCGGCTGCCAGAGACAGTGTGTGTGTCCCACTAAAACCTGCTCTAGATTCAGACCCGCAAGTTGAATAGAAGAGCGGGAATGTCCTTTCTGTTTTGTTTTTTTTCCAATAAATTGCTGCTGAGTTTCATCTGTTAGAGATTTTTTTTTGAGCCAGGATTTTAGAATTAAAAGCCTGTGATCCTTTGATGTTCCAGTTCAGTGTTAAAGTCTCCTCTTCACTGTACTTTGTTCATTAAAACAGCTCTCATGTCTCCTTGCAGAATAAAAGCCGCCCTCATTCTAGGGGAGAATATAATGTTTACAGTACCTTTCAAAGTCACGAACCAGAGTTTGACTATTTGAAAAGTCTAGAAATTGAGGAAAAAATTAATAAAATTAGGTGGTTACCACAACAGAATGCTGCTCATTTTCTACTCTCTACAAATGGTAAGAATTGTTTTCTAAGTGGCTGTTTGATTTAGTGTTTTATTTTTAATTTTCTGTGTGTAGAGTCCATTTTATTTTAAAAGTTATTCCTGCTTTAAATCTGGGGGCAGGGGGATAAATTATTATCTAGGGTAGCAAGTGAAAGGTTGAAATTGAGAGTATGCAACAAAAAGACACATTGTGTCTGCATGGCTCCACAGCTGTGGCAAACAGGGTGTCCGTGGGGATGCTCACCAGAGACCCAGCAGCTTATCAGCCAGCGCAGGGCCACACCGCTTTCTGATGTGATACTCAAACAGTAGTGATGCATGTTACAGTTTTTCTTTTCATATGGAGAATGAGGTTTTTATTTTCAGATAAAACTATAAAATTATGGAAAATAAGTGAACGGGATAAAAGAGCAGAAGGTTATAACTTGAAAGATGAAGATGGAAGACTTCGAGATCCGTTTAGAATCACAGCACTACGGGTATACGTTGCCTTTTCCTATCCAATGCTTTTCAGAAATTAAGAATATCGTTTGTGTCCGCTGTTCAGAGAATACTGTGCAGTGGAATACTGTGAGATCTACTTTCTTGATTCATGAACCTTATTTGTACTCATGTGTATGTGTTTAAAGCAAGAGATTTCTCCTATTTTCACAAAGGCAAAAAGTCACACGTGGTCCTTAGAAAATACAGCAATACTAAGGGGAAACTCTCATTTAATTCTACAGCAGAAATCTTGGTGGGCATACCAACCACCCTTCTCTCTGAAGGCCGAAGTTCAGAACACTTCACAGGTGAAATAGCATACCTTGCAAATTTAAAGATAAACTGTGGACCACCAAGACACCTTGGTGATGGTTCTTGTGGAATTTCTTTGGGGTTGACATAGGCAGTTGCTGGTAGTTCAGAACTCTTCCCCTGTCCATCCATGAGCATCATTACTTTTTAATTGTTAAGCTCTTTGCTCCATTGTTGGTACGTCTCCGCCCCCACCACCATACAGTATGAAATGAGCATAATCAGTTCTGCTGCCTAGATTTTTTCATATTTTAACATCTATGAAATCGGGTAAAACTTAAAACCTTGGTCTTATGATTGACTGGTGCTGCACACCACTGATGGTGTCTTAAATTAGATGGAACATGGTGAAGGGTGTCAGGCAGACTGGACTCAAGCCCAGGTGTGTCTTGGTGAGAAACCAGTACCTGTGCAGAGGTGTGTCCCTGGAAGGAAACCCTGCCTGGTCCCAAGGGAGTGCCATTATTCGATTTGAAAACCATTGATTGATTAGTTAATTGGTTGGGGTGGTTTGTTGGTTAATCGATTGAGTGGTTTGGTTGGGGTAGGTGGGTGTGTTGGTTGGTTGGTTAATAGGTTGGGTGGTTGGTTAATCGGTTGGGTGGTTGGTTGAGTGGTTTGGTTGGGGTAGGTGGGTGTGTTGGTTGGTTGGTTAATAGGTTGGGTGGTTGGTTAATCGGTTGGGTGGTTGGTTGAGTGGTTTGGTTGGGGTAGGTGGGTGGGTTGGTTGGTTGGTTAATAGGTTGGGTGGTTGGTTAATCGGTTGGGTGGTTGGTTGAGTGGTTTGGTTGGGGTAGGTGGGTGGGTTGGTTGGTTGGTTAATAGGTTGGGTGGTTGGTTAATCGGTTGGGTGGTTGGTTGAGTGGTTTGGTTGGGGTAGGTGAGTGGGTTGGTTGGTTGGTTAATAGGTTGGGTGGTTGGTTAATCAGTTGGGTGGTTGGTTGAGTGGTTTGGTTGGGGTGGGTGGGTGGGTTGGTTAGTTGGTTAATGGTTGGGTGGGTGGTTGGGGTGGTTGGTTGGCTGGCTTTTAATGAGATTTCAGCCCCATTACACTATTGTTTATCAAGTGAAGACCGAGTGAGCAAGCCCATTCCACATTAGTCTTTGGAAGTGCCACACAGAAGGCCGCTGCTAACACACGTGCCCCTAGGAATGATGCTGGGTCTGTTCTGGTGCCATTTCTCCAGCTTTGCTGTGCAGGGCGGGTGCACCTGGGGTTAGGCACTCTCCAGGAGGAGTGTCCTCAGACCTGTCACATCCATACTACCGCTGTATTTCCTGAGTTCATCAAAGCTGGGAAGGGCTGTGGCATTTGCTGAAAATCTAGCTTATAGGGTCCTAATTTGAACCAGGATGTTTTCATCTAAATTGTGGGTGACGTCTGTCACACAGGACCGCTGCTCTTGCGTCCGTGGATTAGTGTATATTGTTCTTAGTGATAGTGACAGTAGCTATGCAGTTACATCATGAAACTGCTAATCCTAAATGAGAAGTGAGATAGACACCCCGAGGGTGGGCACTGATTCTAAACTGGAAGTGATGGGACCCCGAGGGCGGGCACTGATTCTAAACTGGAGGTAGGTGATGGGACCCCGAGGGCGGGCACTGATTCTAAACTGGTAGTGATGGGACCCCAAGGGCGGGCACTGATTCTAAACTGGAGGTGGGTGATGGGACCCTGAGGGTGGGCACTGATTCTAAACTGGAGGTAGGTGATGGGACCCTGAGGGCGGGCACTGATTCTAAACTGGAGGTAGGTGATGGGACCCCGAGGGTGGGCACTGATTCTAAACTGGTAGTGATGGGACCCCAAGGGCGGGCACTGATTCTAAACTGGTAGTGATGGGACCCCTGAGGGCAGGCACTGATTCTAAACTGGTAGTGATGGGACCCCAAGGGCGGGCACTGATTCTAAACTGGTAGTGATGGGACCCCAAGGGCGGGCACTGATTCTAAACTGGTAGTGATGGGACCCCTGAGGGCAGGCACTGATTCTAAACTGGTAGTGATGGGACCCCAAGGGCGGGCACTGATTCTAAACTGGTAGTGATGGGACCCCGAGGGCGGGCACTGATTCTAAACTGGAAGTGATGGGACCCTGAGGGCGGGCACTTGACCTGCTCCAGCCTTGTCCATCTCTGCAGCCAGCAGCACCTCCCACCATCTCCCACGGGGTACATGTGCACAACCCACCCTCAGAAACCCCTGTTCCTCCTGATGGGACCCCGCCACCACCCTCAAGCTCACGTGCTTGTTTTGGGAAAACAGTAGGCCTTTATTAGGCCCAGTCTTGGTTTTATTTAAGGCTGCTTTTGTAGGTTTCGCCTAAATAAAACAGGTATAATAGGTGGCCCTACTGAAGGCATGTGAGAAGTGTAGTTATTTCATTAGTCAGTACTCGGAGAAGAGACCACAGACTACATAATTCTCTACATTGACTTAGGTCAGTATTTGAGATCTTACAGTTCAGAGTGGGCTGTTAATGCATTCTAACCCTAACTGGGGAAGAGTCAGAAATGTTGCTGCTTTTAAATTTTTTGTCTAAATCATTTTAGTGCCAGGAAAGGGATGTAATTAAAAGAAGGAGTCTTGGCCAGGCGCGGTGGCTCATACCTGTAATCCCAGCACTTTGTGAGGCTGAGATGGGAAGGTCACTTGAGCCCCGGAGTTCAAGACCAGCCTGGGCAACATAGCAAGACCCCATCTCTAAAAATGAAAACATATTATTTTGTATGTAAATGAAATTTTTTTTAAATAAAGGAAGGAATCTTTGTAAGTATCGTGTGTTTTGATTAATTGGAGGTTTGTTAGAGGATTGTGGCAGGTGTGTGTTTTTAAGCCTGGTAGACCTGACCCTTTCTCTAGAGACTCGAAGGGTGTGGTCAGCACTAACTGTGTTAAAATCAGGGAAGTCTCACTGTACATACTGTTTCAAGTTCATTTTCTATAAAATCAGCCAGACAAGACTCAGCTGAGAGATTTTTTTCCCCTAAGCTTTCACGGTTCTTCCTTTTGGTTTCTAATTACAAGAATAACTAAAGATCCTATCATTAATTTTTTTGTTTTGATTTTAAAGCTTATGCTTTTCTTCCAGCTGGATGTTAGTGAGATGCAGGCCCTTTTCCTTTTTTCACGTGTGATGCTATTCCTCGTGCCTGAGCTCTCGCCTCTGACCACAGGCGCCCTCCGGCCAGCACCCTCTTCTCTGTCCTTTCCATTTCAGTGTGATTGGAAATGGACTTTCCCAGCACTCAACACAGAAATGGGTACGGGAGGTACCTTTTACTTGTTTTAACCACAAATGAAGTATAATATATAATACATACCCCATAATAATACATGTGCCCCATAAGTGACCAGCTCCATTTGACTGGACATGCCCATATAGCCAGCCCCAGACTGAGACATGGAACATCCTCAGCTCCCCAGGGCCCTCCTGTGCACCCTCCTGTGCAGTCCCTGGAGCCGGCAGAGGCTTGTGGGGTTTGCTCCGAGAAGCATACTCCTGGTGCAGTGAGGGAGGGTTTGTGCATCCGGCTGCAAGGAGAGGACAAAGGGAGGGGAAGACTTTGCTGTCCAGCGTCTCAGTGTGGCCACTGGAGGACACACGAGAGGGAGCGAGCGCAGGCCTCAGCGCCCGGGCAGCTTGTTAGCCTGCCAGCTTTTTATTCAGCAGGAACATGTCAGCCTCAGCAATGGAAGCAAGGGGGAAGACTTGGAATAGAGTATTCCATTTTGTAGCCTATTTTCATAACTGCTAAGTGGTTACTTAGAGGTATTGCCTGTACGCAGTTCTTACTTAGCCATGGACGCAAACTTGTCCTCCTCTGTTATCTACTGTAAGTGTTTTAATTCTATGCCACTGCGATCTTTGTTTTGAATTCCTGTTTCCTTCCATTTTTAGGTCCCAATATTGAAGCCCATGGATCTAATGGTAGAAGCGAGTCCACGGCGAATTTTTGCAAATGCTCACACATATCATATAAATTCCATTTCAGTAAATAGTGATCATGAAACGTATCTTTCTGCAGATGACCTGAGAATTAATTTATGGCACTTAGAAATCACAGATAGAAGCTTTAGTATCCTTCCTCAGAGGGACACTGGCATCTTCCTTGAGGCTGCTCTTTAGATGGTGATTTCTCTTGTTCTTTACACGCCTGTATCTGAGTCTAGTCTCGTAAATGTCATTGCTGCACAGTGGCCTGCGATGTAAGTTCTCTGTGAATTGAAACATTTGTTCCTAAAAATACGGATTTCCTTCTACGTTTGGAAACAGTTCTCTGAAGTCCACTGCCTGCCTGGTTTAATCAGAGATAGTTTTAAATAGGCTGCATTTGAAAAACCAACATTACTTGTTCTTTTTTGATTTATTTTTTTTCCTGAATTTGCTGATGGATGATAGAAAATATTGGCTTAGGTTAGAGTGGCATTTAATCACCCATCTGAGCAGCAGCTTCCGGGAGAACCTGTGTTCTCCTGAGGCTGTGCATGGTCTGGGGGTCCTCGCCATCCTCACGTGGGCTCCTTTCTAGCTAGCAGCCAGGGAGCAGGGGGCATGTTTTGTCTGCAGCCTCTCCCGGGGCCCTGCCATCCAATGCGTCCCTCTGCTGTCCCGTGGCTTGAGCTGGGGTTCCACATCGTGTGTTGATTTTCTTAGTAGTTTCAGCTAAAAGGGTGAGGCTGGCCCTGCTGTCTGAATTGGCCCACCGCTGAATTCTGCCCTGTATTTTTCTCAGTTGGAGGATTTCTGTATAGGGTAGCCTGCTATGTTGCCTTTGCTCTAACTACACAGAACAAGCTCTTAATGTCAGGTCATTAGAAAAGCAGCGTCTTTTGGAATTCGGCGGTATTCTTGTGTCTGTAATTACGTGTGGGAGTGTGGGATTCTCCCCGGTGGTGCTCGCTTGCTTTTCCTGTCTACATGATTAAGAAGTATGTACTGTCTTGCCATCAGAGGGTTTCCGTAGAACATTAATAACTGCAGCGGGATGAAAGCGGTATTCGCGTGTCTGCGTCTCCCCCAGGTCGGGGTGTTGCTGTAGTCTGGTGAGGGTGCTCATCCCAATCCTCTTAGCATGAGCTCCTCTGGAGTTCAGGAGGTGTCATCGGCCTTCTTTATAGCTAATCTCCTAAACCTCACTGGGCGGATTCCTTTGCGTCCTGTTTCATGGGACTGCACTGACTAATTAACAGTCAGCTGAGCTGAGCTGAGCACTGAGCACTGTCCTTAACCACGCGCTCCAGACATCGTGGACATCAAGCCTGCGAACATGGAGGAGCTGACGGAAGTCATCACTGCTGCCGAGTTCCACCCGCACCAGTGCAACGTGTTTGTCTACAGCAGCAGCAAAGGCACCATCCGGCTCTGCGACATGCGCTCCTCAGCCCTGTGTGACCGACACTCCAAGTGTAAGTGCCTGGCGGCTCACTCTGTCACTCAGGCTAGAGTGCAATGGCGCAATCTCAACTCACTGCAACCTCTGCCTCCGGGGTTCAAGTAGTTCTCCTGCCTCAGCCTCCTAAGTAGCTGACATTACAGGCATCTGCCACCACACCCGGGTAATTTTTGTATTTTTAGTAGAGATGGGGTTTCACCATGTTGTCCAGGCTGGTCTTGAACTCCTGACCTCAGGCGATCCACTCGCCGTGGCCTCCCAAAGTGCTGGGATTATAGGGTGACCCCCCCCCCCGCGCCCAGCTGTGCCTGGCATCTTTTAAAGCATCTCCTTTAGATCTTCTTGTTCTTCAGAGGTTGACTCACCTCCAAAGACTTGGAGGGTTCTTCCTGTTCCCCAAGCACCTTTGCGCCTGGGGAGCCCTCCCTTGCTGGGGCCGTCCAAGTGTGGGTGTCAGAGGCTGCTGCTACTAACTGGAAGTCGAGGTCATGCTTCCCACGGGCTTGTGGCTGTAGGGTGAGTGCTTTGGTACCACCAAGAAGTGGGGTCACTTCTGCCCAGAGCCTGGGTGTCTCCTCAGTGGCTGCCAGAGCCCCTCATTGCCTCTGCCTCTGTGCGTGAGACCTGGGCCGAGGCCGCCAGCACACGGGCTTGTTCCCAGCTGTTGGAATGAGCTCTGTTCCTGTTGAGCTTTGCTGAATTGGAAGCCACTTCCCTGAACTGAAAGGCTAGTATTTTAATGCACTGAGCTTTCAAGGTCCTTCTAGGTGAGGGAGCTTTTGTTTTTGTTTTTATTTTTACCCATAAAGAATGGGCTCGACTGGATACAGCGCTGTAGTCAGCATGCTCCAGTGTCCTGAAACGTTGCCAACTCTGCCCCCAGTGCCAGCAGGTGGCCCGTGCCCAGTGACAGTTCCTCTGATGGCAAAGCCGCCAGTCAGTCCCACCAGACTATGCTCAGCAGCCTTTCTAACTGTTCTTTCCTGAAGTTGAAGTGTCTTTTTAAGAATTCCGTATTCCTATTAGAATTCCTGTGATGAAGATAAGCATTTTATAGCATTTAGCCTTATCTTAAGCATAACATTCTTGAGTAAGTAATTTCAGATTCCAGAAGTTCTGTTTGTCATCAGAGTGTTTGTCCTTCGAGTGAATGCTTAGTGTCAGCATCGCTGGTTTCAAGTTAACTTCAAATGTAAAGCCAACAATTACAGGTTCCTACATCAAGGAAAAGGAAAAAAAAACCTAAAGCAGCTTGAAATAAAGGAAGTATAAGCAGGTACAGTGGCGCATACCTGTGGTTCCAGCTACTCTGGAGGCTGAGATGGGAGGATCACTTGAGCCCAGGAGTTTTGAGACCAACCTGGGCAACATAGTGAGATCTTGTCTCTTTTAAAAACAAAAAGGGAAGCACATATCCCCTGGCTTCAAGTTTACTAACCCTTAGGGCATATGACCGCATACTAGGGCAGTCAGTGTCCCGTGGGGCGCCTCACTCTGCCACAGGTGCAGGTGAAGGGAACTCTCTCCACTTACTGCAGAGAAAGCGGGGTCTGCCAAGGAAGTGTTCAAGTCATTCTGAAAACAGGAACTCAGTTTTGTCACAGTAGAGCTTGACTGTTCAGGATTGGAGGCAGACTTGCTGGCTGGCTTTGACCAGTGGGACCATCATGGTGGTTAAAATCTAGACCGCAGCGTTGCTGGTCAAGGTGGTCACTCAGGCAGACCCACAAGCTGTCAGCCCTCCAAAGAGCAGGCACTTTTTTAGAGGCCCAGATCGCTGTGTCTGCGTGACCATGTAACGTTGTGTCTTCCTGTGATGTACGTGGGATAGGATTTCACGTCCTGGGGCCTGGGGCCATGAGGACGTGAAGACACTCCTCCCGTAACGCAGTGGTGTTGAACCTGGACACGCGTCAGGATGCCCTGAGGAGCTCTCACAGATGGCTGCCCCCAGGACCTTGCCCAGAGATTCTGACTCAGAGTCCGGGTGAGACTTGGGTGTCTGCGCTTCTGATGCCCGCCCCTTGTCCGTAGCTGCTGCTAGAATGTCTTACCCTAAGGTCTTGCCCACAGAAGTCACAGAAGATGAGAAAGCCTGGAGAATCAGAAAGATCGGAAGACTGGTACTGTTGAGAAAGAGCCCTTCCAGAGTCTTTGAAGGGCCATGTCCTGCTTGAACTTGAATATGATTTTTCTCTGATTTTTAAACAGAAGCTGAACACGTTTTCTTTTGTTTTTCAGTTTTTGAAGAGCCTGAAGATCCCAGCAGTAGGTCCTTCTTCTCGGAAATCATCTCGTCCATATCCGATGTAAAGTTCAGCCACAGCGGACGGTACATGATGAGCAGGGACTACCTCTCGGTGAAGGTGTGGGACCTCAACATGGAGAGCCGGCCACTAGAGACCCACCAGGTCCACGAGTACCTGCGCAGCAAGCTCTGCTCGCTCTATGAGAACGACTGCATCTTCGACAAGTTTGAGTGCTGCTGGAATGGTTCGGACAGGTAAGGCCTGTGTGGAGATGAGCAGTCGCCTCCAGCTTGCGGTTTCCCAGAGTGCAAGGTCAGCAAGGGAGGGCGCAGCACACAGAGGACGGTGCACAGGGTTGTTTTCCAGGCCTTTTGATTGATGGACAGTAGTATCAGGGTAGAGAAACTCGGGTCTCTGAGAAAGTTTCTCACCTGGCTCATAATTCCATCTATATTCAGTCCAGACGCACAGCACTAGGTACAGGTTGGCTGTGTTTTCAATGCTGAGTGAGTGATAGTTCATTACTTTTTATTCTGCCCAAGATGAGGGAAAGGAAGGAAGTGGGGGCGTGCTCACCTGACGGGAATGGCCACACTGCACTTCGCCTTTCCTTTGGAGAGAAGTGGCTGAAAACACCCCCGAGCCCACTGCCTCCTGCGCTTGGACACAGCGTGCTCTGAAACGCCGATGTAACTGGTCACGTGATGTTCTCGTACCTTGCTCATTTATTTTGCGTACATTCTTTAAAGTTGTTACGATTAGTATGGTTGAGAGTTATGTTTTATTATTATGCAAAAAGTTACCTTTCAGATGATGGAAGATTATCTTGCACCATTTTTATGTAGAATTATTGTTCAGAACTTAACACTGGAGGAGTCTGCTGTTGGCAATAAGTGATTGACTGGATAGTCTGTGAAATCCTCTGGCATAAACACCTAGATATGCTGGATATGATACAGCAGGTGTCCCTTCAGGCACGTAGCTGAGCTCACAAATAAGCAAGGGAACTCTCACACCAGCAGAAAGTAGGAGGGAGCGGAAACCAGGATGGTAGCCTCTGAAGGCGTCTCTTCCGAGAGCCGACTACGGTCTGATTCCCCTGAGGCCAGCGGCGCTGCGAGACTGAGAATGCTGACAGATCCACAGACTGGAGGAAGGAAACAGCCTGAACCAGGAGCCACATGACCGCCAAACAGCCAGGGAGACTGGAAGGAAATCAAAGAGAACGTCTGGAAATGGCGCGTGCGATAGATGGAACTGTGTGGATGTAGCTGCAGGTCATTCTGGCCAAAGAGACCTTGTATTAGTAGGTGGCAAAGATAACCAGAAGTGCGGGCTAAAGAGCCGAACAGATCGAACCTGAATCAGCAGGAGCCGCCGAGGCCGCGGGGAGCACAGCACACATTTCCACGGACAAGTGCGGGGCGTGAGGCTGAAAGTGACAGCGGCCAGGAATTTTCTGTACCTTACGAAAGCCTGAATACACAGAATCGAGAGGCACAGAAATGCACATCCATATTATAGTGACATTGCAGGACACCAGACGCGAAGAGTATCTTAAATGTGCCCAAGGAAGAAACACAAATTACCTCCAAGAGTGGACGCCGAGACCGAGACGGGGCTTTGCGACGGCCACAGTGGGAGCTGAAGCCATGTGACACATAGCGGGTGTGACTCGTGACTCGCCACCGCCAGCTTAGAATCAAGCCTTGAAATAGATGCTTGTTCAAGAATCTGCTTGTGATGAAGGCATTTTCAGATGGGAAGCAGTGTATTGCAGCAGGAAACTCAGTAGCGTGAGCTGTAAAGGAACCCGCTGAAGAACATGCTCTAGCAGCTGGAGAATGGCCCTGCAGAAAGGGGCTGAGACAGACGGCAGGGGAACAGCCATGCGGACCCCACAGAAAGGGGCTGAGACAGACAGGCAGTGGACACAGCCGGCAGGGGAACAGCCATGCGGACCCCACAGAAAGGGGCTGAGGCAGACAGGCAGGGGACACAGACAGTAGGGGAACAGGTGTATGGACCCCACAGAAAGGGACTGAGGCAGACAGGCAGGGGACCCAGACGGCAGGGGAACAGGTGTATGGACCCCACAGAAAGGGGCTGAGGCAGACAGGCAGGGGACCCAGACGGCAGGGGAACAGGTGTATGGACCCCACAGAAAGGGGCTGAGACAGACAGGCAGGGGACACAGACAGCAGGGGAACAGCCATGCGGACCCCACAGAAAGGGGCTGAGACAGACAGCAGGGGAACAGCCATGCGGACCCCACAGAAAGGGGCTGAGACAGACAGGCAGGGGACACAGACAGCAGGGGAACAGCCATGCGGACCCCACAGAAAGGGGCTGAGACAGACAGGCAGGGGACACAGACAGCAGGGGAACAGCCATGCAGACCCCACAGAAAGGGGCTGAGGCAGACAGGCAGGGGACACAGACAGCAGGGGAACAGCCATGCGGACCCCACAGAAAGGGGCTGAGACAGACAGGCAGGGGACACAGACAGCAGGGGAACAGCCATGCAGACCCCACAGAAAGGGGCTGAGGCAGACAGGCAGGGGACACAGACAGCAGGGGAACAGCCATGCGGACCCCACAGAAAGGGGCTGAGACAGACAGGCAGGGGAACAGCCATGCGGACCCCACAGAAAGGGGCTGAGACAGACAGGCAGGGGAACAGCCATGCGGACCCCACAGAAAGGGGCTGAGACAGACAGCAGGGGAACAGCCATGCAGACCCCACAGAAAGGGGCTGAGACAGACAGGCAGGGGAACAGCCATGCGGACCCCACAGAAAGGGGCTGAGACAGACAGGCAGGGGACACAGACAGCAGGGGAACAGCCATGCAGACCCCACAGAAAGGGGCTGAGACAGACAGCAGGGGAACAGCCATGCAGACCCCACAGAAAGGGGCTGAGACAGACAGGCAGGGGAACAGCCATGCAGACCCCACAGAAAGGGGCTGAGGCAGACAGGCAGGGGACACAGACGGTAGGGGAACAGGTGTATGGACCCCACAGAAAGGGACTGAGGCAGACAGCAGGGGAACAGCCATGCGGACCCCACAGAAAGGGGCTGAGACAGACAGGCAGGGGAACAGCCATGCGGACCCCACAGAAAGGGGCTGAGGCAGACAGGCAGGGGACCCAGACGGCAGGGGAACAGGTGTATGGACCCCACAGAAAGGGGCTGAGACAGACAGGCAGGGGACACAGACAGCAGGGGAACAGCTGTATGGACCCCACAGAAAGGGGCTGAGACAGGCCGGCAGGGGAATGCAGCTGGCAGGGGAACAGCCGTGCGGACTCTGCAGAAAGAGGTGAGCCAGACAGACAGGGAACACAGCCAGCAGGAGGAGAGCAACGCGGACTCTGAAGCTCCTCCATTGGGGCGACCTTAGTTATCCGTGCTAGGGGGAGAAAAATGAGAGCCCTCACCAGCTCCACACAGTAAATACGCTCTGAGAGCTGAGGTGCTCTGCAGCCTAAGGAGTCTTCCTGAGCTCTGGAGGCAAAAGTTCTCTAACAAGGCCCCAAAAGCCCAAACAGTGAAGGAGAACATCAAGAAATTCAGCTACAGTAAATTTAAACTTCTTTATGTTGAAACTAAAAGGGAAAACAGAATCCACAAAAGCAAGCATAACGAACAGAGACTGAGTATCCAGAACAGGCACAGCATTCGGAATTCACACGAAGGTAGCAGACAACTCAGAGGAGCAAAACTGTGAATGGGATTTCGCAGAAATGGGAAATAAACAGATAGAAATGCTCATCCTTCTTAGTGATCAGCAAGTAAAGCCAGACGGGCGTCCTTTCACACCTATCAGATGATGACGGTGTCGGGGAGAGGATGGAGGCCAGTGGGCTCACCCAGTGCCCTTCTTGTGGGCCTCCTTGGTGCCATTCAGTCTGGTTGGGAGCTACCTGCATGTGCAGATGACAAAACATGCTCAGACATGGAATAGCAAACTCCTGGAGGCAGCCCACAGGTGCAGGATTAGGGGATGGGCGGGGGAGTCCTCGACCATAATGACATCTACTGAAAAGCAGTGAGAATCAGTGACTAGAACTACATGGATCTCACAAAGAATATTCAGGAGGAATGCATACGGTAACACACGGCGTGATACGTTGAAGACATACAAGACAGTTTTATTTGTTTTTAAGAAGCCGTAACTATTGGCCAGGTGCGGTGGCTCACACTTGTAATCCTAGCACTTTAGGAGGCCAAGGCAGGCAGATAATAATGTGAGGTCAGGAGTTCAAGACTAGCCTGGCCAACATGGCAAAACCCTGTCTCTACTAAAAATACAAAAATTAGGTATGGTGGTGGGCACCTGTAATCCCAGCTACTCGGGAGGCCGAGGCAGGAGAATTGATTGAAACTAGGAGGCGGAAGTTGCCGTGACCCGAGATTGTGGCATTGCACTCCAGCCTGGGCAACAAGAACAAAATTCCATCTAAAAAAAAAGAATCCGTAACTATTCAAAATATATAACTGTGTAGGGAATGCCATGTACTTTAGAAAGTGAAACCCAGCTGGGGACGGATGGGAGGTCATCTTTCCTTCCAGAGTGGCCCCAGTGGGGGTTCGCTGTCTGAGCAGTGACTTGCAGGTACGTGGGTGTTCACTGTATTCTTTATTCCTCTTGATATATTTGAAATACTGGAAAGTACACTTAGATTACACATCCCCAAGAACATCTGACAGCATTCCCGCCATCGTTGGCCTAGTCCATTCAGTCTTGCAGACACGCTCACGTTTTCCTGCCTGGACCCTTCTGGTGAGGAATGCGGTGGAGGAGACTGAGGTGCTTCAGTGCTGCCTCCCCCCAGTCCAGGTCCTGTGTGTGGCAGCACCTTCTCGTGTTCTAGACTGCCCCACAAAACCAGTGACGCATTGACTCTGTGTCTGCCTGTGCTGTTCCCTTCCTGGGCCCGCCTGGGCTGCTGGGCAGCGCTCTTGTTTGCTGTGTGGAAACGCCCACTCTGGGGTTGGCACTGTCTGTCAAGAATTTAAAAGCGATGATAAAACTGTATAAAAGCTGATGTGCTTTTCATTATTACCACGCACCAGCAATTCCAGTGTCGGCCATACTTCTTCCCCAAACTCTTGTGTTCTGAGTAACAGTTGCTGTTGAGTTTTAGTAACATAAATGTAAGCTCCAGATTCACACATTCTTTTTACCTTTTCGTAAACATTGTTTTCTTTGTGGAAACTAATTTGGGGAACTCCCAGTCACCGGCGCTCACGTGCGGACTTGGCAGGGCTGGAGGGCGCAGGACACACCGTGTGTCTTCTGCCTCGGTGGCGCTGTGGGCTCCTTCATGGATGCAGGAGACGTGAATAAACATGGAGAGTTAAATGCAGTTTCTCTTTTTTGAGCTTGTCTTTTTTTTTTCTGCTGTGAAGTTTTAGAGTAGGTCAGTCAGACACCAGATATTTGTAAGCAGCCGGGGTCAGCGCTAGGCCGTGGAATGGAGGAGGCCGGCCTTTCTCCTGGCACCTTGAAGACATACGGGCACGAAGGCCTTTCCCCGTGGGGCAGGACGGGAGGGTGTGCGCAGTGTTGGGAGGAAGAAGTGTGTCAGGACTGCTGGGGAAGTCAGAAGGGCCTGTCGGAACACATCCGTCATCCGAAACTGGGCTCATAAAGCCGTGGGTCAAATCATGATAACGTTTGCTATTACTCAGCCATGTTTCCATCACTTTTGTAGAAAAAGTAAGATTGCAGAGGTTTTTGCCAATATTATAAAGTTGTATCATGAGGATGTGTGCTGCTTGAGTGGAATTTTTCAACAGCAGAGACACTTGAAAGCCATTACAGTTGGTCTTGAAGAAACAAAGCTTGGACAGTTTGTGTCCGGAACATATTGTGTGAAGCGCAGGCATTCTAAAATTCTGCCACACCTAGCCCAGTGTTTCAGATCCTGTCTGTATTATTCATTGCTGCATTTGAAAGAAACTTTGAAATTAATAGAAAAGCAGTCTGAGAGTGAAGAAACTGACAGTTGTGACTAAGAACTACTGGATATGAATTATGTCCAGGTCAGCTTTGACTGGATTATGGACAAAATGCAAAACTTAAGGCTTAAAAATAAGCCGTACTGTTATTCATGAGTGAGATAAAACAGGTGGGTTGTTTTCAAAACATGCGCTAATGTAGTTAAAAGTGTGACTATTATTTTGTTTCTCCTGCGATAAAAAGTTCAGTCAGTCTTCGCTGCATTTCCCTTCTGACCGTGATTGTGATTGTTGTTTCCTGATTTCCGAAGGTCACTGGGTCATACGGGCGGGTGGGTGGTGTGTCTGTGTGCCCCAGGGCTGGGGTCTGCGTCCCTGCTGCCGCCCCCCCACTCAGGAGTGCTGCTGTCTGCTCTTGTTTTAAACAGCGCCATCATGACCGGGTCCTACAACAACTTCTTCCGAATGTTTGATAGAGACACGCGGAGGGACGTGACCCTGGAGGCCTCGAGAGAGAGCAGCAAACCACGCGCCAGCCTCAAGCCCCGGAAGGTGTGTACGGGGGGCAAGCGGAAGAAAGACGAGATCAGTGTGGACAGTCTGGACTTCAACAAGAAGATCCTGCACACGGCCTGGCACCCCGCGGACAGCGTCATCGCCGTGGCTGCCACCAATAACTTGTACATATTCCAGGGCAAAATCAACTAGAGACGCGAACGCAAGGACCAAGTCTTGTCTTGCTTAGTTAGCCGGTCATTTCTCTGTCGGAGAGCAGGCACCAGTGTCCACTCCACTAAGAACAGTGACGCACCTGCTGCTTCCCTCAGACGCAGGAGAAAGCAGCCTCCACTGGAGGCTGGCGTGGTTCCGCCTTCGGTGAGGCGCGAGATGGGCGCTGCTGCTCATGTGGAGACGCTCTGGAAGCAGGGTTGACGGACACTGCTCCCAAAGGGCCATTACTCAGAATAAATGTATTTATTTCAGCCCCAGCCTTCCTTTCCAATCTAGACCAAAAAATTAACACCCAAGAGCAAAGTTATCGTCAGATCTCTCTCTCCACTTCTTTCCCTCTTCTCTGCCGTCGAACCTTGGCTTTCCCTGCAGCGTGGCGTGGTGACCGTCACGTCCTCTGCAGCCTTCCTCTGAGTCCTGGTGGCTCCGTGGATGAGTGGATGTGGCCCGAGCAGGCTCAGGCGGCCCCACTCACCCACTGCATCCACCGTCACCCCTTCGGGTGTGACCTCTCAATAAAAACAACACACTCTAAAGTGTTTTTCAATCCAAACATAAGTATTGTCTTTTTATTGTTTTCACTGCATAGAATGAAGTTATGCAGGATCGTTCTTTGGAACTATTGCAGAAATGTGTGTCCTCGGCAGCGTGGTGGGGGGTGGCAGGGTGTGCAGCACTTCTCTCCCCACGCTCCCACCCGCTGTGTTTCTGTAGAAATAGCCCATCGGATGCACCAGCTAAGGTCTGGGAAAGGCCAGAACCGAGGCCACCTCTGAGAAAGGAAATTGCGAGGAAGAACTGAAAGTGCCGCCGTCCAGTTAGCCTGGTTTACAGTAGCCTCAGATTCACTGCAGTTGAAGAAATAAGTGCTTTCCTTCTGAGGACTTTTAAAGAGTAATTTGGGGAAAATATACTTTTTAAATATTGCTAAAATTACAGGCATGCTAAGTTTCATCCTGCATTTCCAGCCAGCAGATTCAGTGATTTTAATTACGTGATGCCACCAGTACCTTGGTGGTTTATTTTCGAAGTAAGATCTTTGATATCAGAGATCAAGATTTTCCAAGACAAACAACAGAGAGAGGTGTGTGCCAGTGCCAAGTGACCAGAGCTTGCTTACGTGGGATTTAACACACACCCACCGTGTGTCCCGAGGGGAGTGCGGAGTCGGGCTCCCATGCCCCCGTGGAGGTGAAGGTGTGTGCGATTAATCCTCACCCTGAATTAATGCTGACACACGCCGCTTGAGTTCACATGAAGTTAGAAATGGAGAACTTCAAAGTTCCTTTATTTTAACTTACAACTAATTCCTCTACTGTATATTGATTGCAACACGATTGGCAGAGTCTTGAGGTGTGGAGCAGGGTTACTTAAGCATCAGTCAGCCCTGGTCCTTAAAAAGTTCTAGGAAAATGGGATTGTATATATTTGTTCAACTATTTTGACCAAAAAGTTTAATAAATTTTAAATGTTTAACTGGATTTTCACTGTGTATTTGGACACCTTTTACCAACTTTCCTCTAGAACATACTTCCCACTAAATAGCCCACCTCGTCCACCTGGAGGGTGGGGCAGTGTCCCACACAGGCCAGTCCTGTGTGCAGAGACTCTACTGCACTGCTGCCCCCCCCCCAGACTGCCACTGCCAGGAGGCTGGGGGCACACTCCCTGGAGGCATCCTCACCTGGCTCTGGGGCCCTGTCCATTTCTGTGGGTTCTCTCCAGTGTAGTCTTGATGTTCTGAGAGGTGCTGGCGATTGCAGGCAGCTGAGTCTACAAAGAGCCGGAAGTGGGTCCAAAGTGGCTCCCGCCGGAGGTCATGGCGCTCGCGAAGGCGAGGTCATCAGTTCAAGGCTAACCCAAGCAACCTCATAAGCTCAAACTGATTGGCAGAAAAAAAAAAAAGAGCCGGAAGTGCTCTCAACAGGCGTGGAGGCCGCTCCTCGGTTCTCTGTCCTTTTATACTTCGATTCCATTGGAGCCTTTCTCCATCAGTGAGGTAAGAATCCTGTCTGAAGACTTTTATTTATATTCAAGCTTATTTATGAAATGCCTGTCACTTCTCTTGTTCTGAAACTTTTAAAGTGAGAGCCATGTCATCGGCTCCCGAAGGTTAATGCTGAGCAGCTTTTTCATTGATGAGGGCTCTGTGATGGTTCACGGGGAGGTTTGCTCCTCTCTGGGCTGATGACCTGGATTCCGTGAACACGCTTTCCTCGTATGTGGATTTAACGTGTATTTCGTTTTTAAAGAGAAATGGAGCTCCTATGAACCAGTCTGATGCCATCGTGGACAGACTTGATCTGGTTTTGGAGGCCACGTGACTGGCAGGTGTGGGCTGAAGATGGCAGCATGTGGGTGTCTGTCCTTCCTGTGTGGAGCCCAGTCGCTGCTGTCAGCACCAGAAGCTGTCCAGGGCATGGTGCCATTGGGTTGGTGTGTGTCCTGCTCATGGTCGGGTGGAGCTGGCCCTGGATCCACCCAGCCTGGCTGCTCTGTGTCGCGCCTTAGCTTGCTTGGAGGAAACGGTGGGTCTGAGTGCTGCGGAGGCTCTCTGGATGGCCGTAAGCTTGCTTTCTCCTAAACCTGCACCGTGTGTCCTTGGCCAGCGGCTTTGGCGTCAGCTGGGGAGTGGAGGAATGAGGTCAGAGCCAGCGGGAGTCCGGGCTCTGCAGGGCAGCTGGGGTGACAGGCGAAGGGACCGGATATGCTGCTGTATGCAGGGTGTGGCTCTGCTCGCCCTGGGCTGGGCTGGGGTGCCTAGTGGGGCTGGAGCCGAATTTCGATAGGGAACCGTCCCATCCATCAGTGCTGGGCTGGGGTCACCAAGGGAGTGGGATGGACCCTGTCCGTAAGCTGATGAGATGGCCAGCCAGGAATCCAGCCACAAGTATGGAGATATTGCACTACAGACCGGTGGAGCTCAAAGGGCCCACAGACCACCTTCAGACGCTGCCTGCGGCCGCTGTGCCCCCACTCCCAGGAGAGGCCTGGGCCTGGGAGAGGCCTGCTGGGCGCTGTGCTCTTCCCTGGGGTCCCATCCTCGGCATAAGAACTCACTTGTGCTCCCTGAGGGGCTGCCTCCGGAAGCCGAACTCAGCAGTACTCCATGGTGGGCTTCTCTGCAGGCCTTGTGCCAGTGTGGGTGGAGTGTAGACCAGATTTGAGGAAGGGCAGCACTCCCAGCCCCACAGTGCTGTCGCAGGTCAGGCCCTGCAGAGCTGTGGGGTTTGGCTGGTGTGGGTGGCAACCCCTCCTGGGTGCTTGCTGAAAGCAGGCACTGGGCCAGGGCTTTCCCTACAGCCACCCTGGCTGTAGGTCAGACCACATGCCGCTGCACCCGGCTGGGCACTGGGGTGATGCTAGGCTCAGCTTTGAGCTTATGCCACTGTGCCCTGTGCGCCCCTCAGAGTGCTTGTGACAGTGCGGGGATGCCTGCATGACACAAAGGGCTCCTTGACCTTGTAGGAACCTCAGCACCCCTGAAGTCAGGAGAGGTGGCAGAGGGGCGGCACCTCCAGCTCAGGCGCCTGCACCCAGTCCGAAGAGCTCAGCAGCTGTGACTTGCCTCTGGCCAAGGTAGGTGGTGGCGCCACACCCAGGACGGGAAGCCATACTTGATGTCCTCTGGGTTTTTTTTTACATTATCTTAAGGACTGACAGACTCCCACCTCATCTGCTCCCAGCTGTCTCTGATTTCACACACGTACGCCTGAATTCCTGCATGCATGTCCCTGTACCACTCAGAACTCAGGGGATTTTGGGAGTGAGAGTGCAGCAAGGCAGCCAGCCATGGCGGCTCTGCCGTCTGGGGAGCCCTGGCGCCAGGACTGCTGCTCACGCTGACCTGTACCAGGATTTTGTATAAATATCTCCAGTTAGAACCTCTTAGTATGTTTCTTAATATGACAGCAGCTGGCATCTTCAAATACAAGACTGGCTGCCCAGTGGTAGACCCCGAACCGTGCAGCTGGGCTTGCAGCAGACAGGATCCTGACGGTGGAACGGAGAGGTCAGAACTGAAACCGCGTTCCGTGAAGTCGCAGCATCACGCAGAGGGAACAGGTTTGGGGTGCAGGGGCAGGACGGTCCTGAGAAGCCGTCCAACTCCTGCGGATGTAGAGTCAGGAGTCACTCCCCGGATGTAGACTGCAGGCAAGCGAAACCTGTGATTTCCTCCAACACTCACCCTCTATCTGGTGAGTGGTTGAAGTCACGTTCATGTTCGTTTTCCTCTTGGTTGCTGGGAAGTGCTTCTGACAGTGATAGTTTTTGACTCTGCCGCCTCATCGTCTTTGGCTCTGTCGCACCCAGTTTCCCTCATGTCCTTGGGTTGTGTCGGACGTTTCTAATACGCCATGTTCCTGGACCTGAAACTCAACTGGAGATGGAGTCCCTTGCACCTCTGCAGGGACCGTCACCACTGGTGTGTAGACACAAAACACGGGCACCACCCAGTAAGAACTGCCAGGGGCTGCCCGCACTGGGCACCAGCCCCACATATGGCCGGGCCCAGACCACGCGACTGCCCATCAGGCCCCAGTCCCCAACCGCCCAGCCGAGGCCGAGAGGTGGCTGCACTTCTGCCGATAGAGGTCCACGGAGAGCTGCATCTGCTTGGGGTGGGATCGACTACCTGACCTCGAGTTTCAAAGTCCGTGGTACTTGCTTTCCACTTACTACTATTATGCCTTTGAAGATGATGGTGTGACCTCAGTCCACTTGCCTTGCAGTTGTTAGAAAATTAACTTGGGGCTGGGCGTGGTGGGTCATGCCTGTAATCCCAGCACTTTGGGAGGCCAAGGTAGGTGGAACACGAGGTCAGGAGTTTGAGACCAGCCTGGCCATCATAGTGAAACATCATCCCTACTAAAAATACGAAAAAATTAGCCGGGCGTGGTGGCGGGCACCTGTAGTCCCAGCTATTCAAGAGGCTGAGGCAGGAGAATCACTTGAACCCAGGAGGCAGAGGTTGCAGTGAGCCGCGATCGTGCCATTGCACTCCAGCCCAGGCGACAGTGCAAGCCTCTGTCTAAAAAAAACAATTATCTTTGGAAAGGTTGAGACCTCAGGTGTCTGTTCCAGGAGAATGGGAAACATTTAGGGTTCCAAGACCTTTCAGGGGAAATGTGTTATCCAGACCTAAGTATCTGAACACAGTGTAACCCTGGTTCTTTTTTTTTTTTTTCTTTTATTGCATTTTAGGTTTTGGGGTACATGTGTGGAATATGTAAGACATTTGCATAGGTACACACATGGCAGTGTTTTGCTGCTTTCCTCCCCTTCACCCACATTTGGCATTTCTCCCCAGGCTATCCCTCCCCAGCTCCCCCCCCGCCGCTGTCCCTCCCCTCTTCCCCCCAATAGACCCCAGTGTTTGGTACTCCCTTCCTTGTGTCCACGTGTTCTCATTTTTCATCACCCACCACCCTGGTTCTTATTAGAAGTGTTTTTTCTTAAAGGAGTTGTGAACTGGTCACACTGCACAGTTCACAAGTCCCTGGAGGAGGACAGAATCTTGCTCTTGCCTCTGGCACCCTGGATACTTTTGGACACTTGTTTCTTGGGTTTACTTCCAGTTTTTAATACAAACACAATTAAGATTCCTTCCTATTTCCCCCGTTTCTACACATTGGCTAGCAGCCTGTGCATGCCAGCGCCTGGCAGTCTCTGCCGCTCACGCTGGGGCAGGGTCTCCACACCAGTCTCAAAGCCTCCTCGCTGGCCTCCGTGCAGCGGCCGCACCGCATGTGGGGGATGCGGCTTCTGACTCCACGGGGATGCGGCTTCTGACTCCACAGGGCTGCGCCGAGGCTCTGCCTTTCTAACAAGCCCCAGGCAGTGTGGATGCCCCTAGTCCAGGGACCACACTTCTTTTTTTTAGTAAAAAGGTATCTTCTGTTTATTTTCCTTCTTGGCGTTGTACTTTGAAATAATGGAACGGGTTTTGGAAATCCTGCAGCCTTCACCCAGCCCCTAACCACGGTGTCTCCTGCAGCCTTCACCCAGCCCCTAACCACGGTGTCTCCTGCAGCCTCGTGCAGACTGGCCGGGCTTGGCCTCACCTGTGCCTGCCTCTGCACCTGCCTGGCTGTTTCCCATCCAGGACCCTCCCGAAGGGCCCGCCTTGCGTTTCATCATCTCCCTGTCTTCCTGGACATGAGCACGTGTGAGGTGTGGGCAGGCGTTTTGTAGAATCCCCCTCAGTTCGGTTTGCTCCTATTTTCTCGTGATTAAACTGCAATTATGCATTCTGGCAAGAACATGGAAGAGATCTGGTCTCCTCTGCATCAGTGAGGATGTAGGTGGTGTCTACCAGGTCTCTTCACTGTAAAGTTACTGTTTTCCTTTGTGTAATGAGTATCTTGCGGGGACACGACGAGAATATCCTCAAGAACCCACTGACTTTATCCTCTCCGTAACCCCTAAGTAGCTTTAGTTTCTGTTGGCCAATCAGCCACTACGCTATGTGCCTAATGGT